GTTTGGCATCAGCTGATGTGTATTCTCGCCGCTGATGTGGAATTCCTGCAAACAGCGTCCACACTGGGGTGATGTGTATTTTCGCCGACTGATGTGAGATAAACCCGACGCTTGTAGGTAGGTAGGTAGGTAGGTAGGTAGGTAGGTAGGCAGGGAGGTAGGTAGGTAGGTAGGTAGGTAGGTTGGTTGGTTGGTAGGTTGGTTGGTTGGTTGGTTGGTTGGTTGGTTGGTTCGTTGGTTCGTTGGTTCGTTGGTTGGTTGGTGGGTAGGTAGGTAGGGAGGGAGGTAGGTAGGTAGGTACTGTGGGTACTGTACTGTAGGTTTCGGCAGGGAGGTAGGGGGTTGCACTTTTGAATCAAACTTCGCGACCTGGGCAGGCCAGGAGCTTGCAGTTTGTGGGCGGTGCCGCTCAGACCATCCCAATTCCGTCGGGCCCGGCAATCGAAGGCCTTGTGGGCTCTTGCATCTGGGGCTGCTTGCTATGAGTGTTTGTGCTTCAAGCTGAGTGGCATCCGGGTGTTCTAGGATGGATTTCGGTGATTGGTAATGATAACACGTTGCCTCAGGACCTTTTGCTACAGTCAATCGCCCCGAGCTGTTTGTAGTTACTCATGATGCAGCTTCGGAAACTGGACGGGTTTGACTCTCAAGCTGAAGTTGGCAGGCTTGGGAACGCGATGCATTGGTCAGGTGAAAAGCTTCTTGGAATGAATGCGACAGCACGTCTCCACATGTCCCCTCCCTGCTAATATTGGATCCCTTTTTTCTGCTCTCTCACTCTCTGTAGCTCTCTCTCACCCTGTATGTTCGTCTGAAAGGGATCGCTCGCGCTTGCTCGCTCCCTCGCTGTCTCTCTCTCTCTCTCTCTCCCTCCCTCCCCCTCTCCCTGTGTACAAGAAGTGAGTGACAACCTGAACTGTCGCCTCTTGTAACATGACGCCGGGTGGACAAAATCCGGTGATACGTCATCCCGAAACACCAGGTTGGTTGGGAAAGCGAGACTTAATCGGAAAAGCTATAGTTACGCTTCAGATTTGTCAACAAAGGAGCTACTGATCAGCTAATGCGACCGTTCGTGTGCACGACGCGCAAAAGGCTCGCTTAGACCGTTCGGGTTTGGTGGTCCTAGCCCTCACCACTGCCCGGATGAACGGATGCTGATATGCTGATATGTCGTTGCGATTGAGATCAGTGGTTGGCACCGGGTCATCTAATCTTGACCTGCTGCAGCTCGGGCACTTACCGCGCTTCTTGGGTGCAGGTTCAGGGTGAGCTTTCATGGGCGGAGCCATTCTTGTTGTGCAAACTCAGCACAAATCGTTGTGATGCGGCTGATAGGCTTCTCTGGCAAGGGCGGATACGGCTGCTTGGCAATAACCCAATTTTACCTTGCAAAGCTTCCAGCACAGAACTGATGCCATTGTTCGATTGAATAGCTCCGGATCTCGCTCGCTGCATTGCATGGTGTGGAAAGCGTCATGACGTGCGCGGATTCCTACCAATTGATCGTGCTGTTCACAGGCTTCATGAGCATCAATACCAATGGAGGCACGTGGAAAGATAGACGTGGCATATCTAGCATCAGCCAACCCGCATCACTAGCGAGTGTATCGCTGAAGCAAAGGCTGCAAAGCTCAAAAAGGGTCCTCCTACAGGGCTGTGGCAATACCCTGATTCGAACCCTGACTCGAGGCGTTAATCGCTTGGAGCGTGCAGGGGCTGATTGCTGGAGTCATTCTGACTGCCGATGTTCCCCTTGTGAAAATATTCCTGACTGCCACTGGTCTGTCGAAGTAGAATATCCAGTGCATGTGCCCTGCAGCTGACATCTTCTTCGCCAAGCGGGATTTGCCGGCGGGCATGCAGGACAACTGTTGCTGCATAGCGTGCACCTCGTTCTCTGGTACTCGTGTGTGGACAATATGGACAGGAAGCCAATTTGATCGGAGTCCAGTTTGAGTTCGACATTGGCTCCAGCAACGATGGGCGAAGTCAGGCCATTTTCAGTTTGGGACAAAAGTCGCGAGCTACAGACAGAGAGACACAAAGAGGGGACAGACCGACAACAGCAGTTCTCTAGGGGAGTATGTGTTGTTCATCACGTGCCTTGCTGTCGTTTGGGGGGACAGGCCCACTCACCTAACAGGTCTGTCCACTGCTTGAAGGCTGTGTACCTGTCCGTTGCAAGCCCCACCTAAAGCGTAGCCATAGGGGCGCGTGGATGAGACCGGGATGCGCGTTGGGGGTCCTAGTGTTGGCGGTCGGGGGCTTGCAACATGAGAGTCGTCACAAACTTAGTCTTTTGTTGCCGCGGTCAGCGGGGACCCCAAAGCCTACCGCTCAATAAAACAGTGGGTGGTGGGGCGGGCCAAAGGCCTGAGGGTCGGGACAACCGACCCCTAAGCCCTGCAGAAAGAAAGAAAGAGAGCAAGCACATATGGCAAGAAGCCGTGAGACAAAGGAGACCTCGTGAAGCTTTGTAAGGGGGAGCAGCAAAAGGGGGATGACTTTCTCCCGATGCAGTTTTTGTCGTGACATGCTCTTCGCAACCGCTGTGAAAAGTCCGTGATCGTCTTCTGAAGGGGGGATTAGGCGCATAGGTGTGAACTTTTTACAGGCTTAGCAGCCATCTCCGATCAAACCCATGTAGACGGGCCAAACGCCCAGAATCCTCGTTTCTTTTTAGCTCACCTCGAAGCCTCTTTGTCCATACTTCGTTGACTCGATCTAGGAGGGACTTCTCGAGGCCCAAATTCATTCTGTTCAACCCGTGATACTCTCAACAACCTGCTCATATGTAGCGGGGGGAGACTTGCACGCTTTTGCCTGGGAGCCCCGAACTTGGAGTCCCTCCTGTTGAACTTTGGCCCCTGCCTTAGCAAAGCATATTGTGGAATGCTGCTTGTTTTTGTGTTTGCCTTGTTCGTTACAACCAACTGGGGGACTCCGTTCAGCGATCTTTTCCTCGCACAGCCGAGCCCCCTATGGAAACATCCCGTAGGGGGAACCACGCGTACCCTTGGACCGCAGGGGCGCGTTCGCGCGCGGGGTGTGGGGCTGGACCGCCCTGCACCGAGAGAGAGAGACAGACAGAGCAAGAGTGCCTGGAGCGCGGGGGGGAGGGCGCAGCCTCCCTTCTTACCGAGAGACCTGCAAGGCCAAAAATCTGGTTTGCGTGGACCCCGGCTCCGGCAACTTCGGCGCCGCAGGCCCGGGCAAGGGCCACGGCAAGGGTCTGGAGCCCGGTGCGACGAAGACAAGACGACGGGATGCCGCAGGCAAGACGGTTTCATGAGCAGCTGCAGGGCACATGATCCGTCTGTATCCGTCTGTCAATGTGGTTCAGAACAGCATAGGCTACAAGACGACTGAAGCGGGTGCATGTCATCCTCCAGGCCCTACCATTAACTCGATCCCTTCCCTGCTCTACAGTGGGCACTTCAAGAAGGACCTCATTTGTGCTATCCGATCTGTGCGGAAGCTATTGGCAGCCATGATGGATCCAGACCATGGGATGGTGAAGGCTCTTCGGCGGAATGCGCGACAGGGATGATTCAGGTTGCATTTTGCCACATGTGTGTGTGTGTGTCTCCGTGAATCCGCTAGCAATATCCGACAGGGTGAGCCTGATTTGGAATGAAATTGTGCGAAACCAGCAACAGAAGATATTAGCAAGACACACATCAGCGGATTGTCCTGACTGCTCGCTTGACATGACCAGGCCGTCTTCTTGGTCGGCCGTGGCGGAGGAGGCTTATGGCCAGAGCATGCTGAAACAGCCTTCCTTGTCCCAACTTTCACTGCGCCAAATAGCTGCTGCCCGTTGCTGCCCAGGGCACATGGCAGCTGCGAAAGCGCTGCAGCGGTGTGCCCTGACCTCAGCTACATGTGTATACTGCTGCAAAAATATGCAAAAATCATCCGCCCACGCCCAGGTCCTCGACAATGCAGAGTCCGTTATTGCTGCTCGCACGCAGAGCTGCGTTTGCTCCGTGATCTGTAGACTCAGTCAAGTTCACTGGCTGTTGATCCTTTGCCTTTGCGAAAGTTGACCAGCTACTCTTGCTTTCAGCTCAGGAGTGTGTCGAGATTGCTGACGGTGGAGGCCTGTCAAGAATCTTCAAGTCTATCAATTCAATCGTGTCGATGCTGCTGTTGTTCGCAGCCAGAGGAAGGTGACCTCCAGATTGCGCCAGCGGAAGTGGAGTTAATTACTAATGAGCCACTGTCCTACTGCCAAGCTCGCCAGAACAATCGAAGATTCTTTCCAACACTCGAATCGAAGCACCATTCGTTTCGTGCCCCTCGGCTGCCTCTTATTGTTATGCCCTTCGAGACGAGGTCTGGCCGAGCTGGCGATCTCCGGGGATCTCCTGCCTAGCGGTGAGCCCTGAAAAGCAAACGGAGACTCCTGTGCAGGGTGTGAGGGATTAGGGTTTAGGGTAAGGACTTTATTATAGAGGGAAAAGTGAATCACTTAAGATGCAACTCAAAGCTTCATCCTGAAGGATCTTTCGCTGGTCTCCTGACTCTGAATCGTGACTTCTTCCTACCACCATTTTGCTCACAACTCTGGGCCCGATGTCCAGTGTTGGCAGGTGATGACATCTACAACTACCTCATGCGAATAGGCTTCTACAATGCAGCCAAGCAGCAAGTTGGGAATGTCTTTGCTTCCCCCGACCACAGCTTTGTCGTCCTCAAGCCGGGTAGCCGGTTTCGGAAGTTATCGGCTAAGGTTGATTCTGGTGCAGCTGCAGCAAAACACTTTAAGAGGTAGCAGTGTACCACGGTGTACACCTCCCTTGCAGAAATGTTTCTTTCATATTTCCGATTCACAAGCATACTGTACCCTAGGCCGCAGTCTCGACGAGGTTTGCATGTTGCAACAGTCCCTTGATTCTACTGAGATGGCGGGAATGTTGGGCAACATTGCAGCCTTCGGCATTCGAATGAATCAGGCCGAAGGGGTACATGCCATGTCGACATGTGAAGTCATTGTCGGTTTTAGTGTTTCAGCCAGTTTTGTGTACTTTGCTTGCCCGGTGAGTTCGGAAGAGCTGCTGCCCGGACTTGTGCCAGGCAGCAATCGAAGAGGTCTTCGAGGCTCGTACAGTCTGCTTGCAGCGAATGCGCGGTGTAATAACAGGAAGCCTGATTGTGCCACGACGGGATGCTGACACCTAGCACGCTGCATAAATGCAAAGCTGTGTGGGCGTGACTTGGTGCAAATGCAAGGATCGGTCGTATTGCGTTAGCCACTATTGTTCCGTTTCTCGCTTTCTCTCACTCTGGGTCTCTTGCTTCCGTCCGCCTCGGCCGCATGCACGTAGCCACGTTGGCCTCCGACTATTTCATGTCTCAGCACTCGAAAACCCGGCACCAGGTGTCAGGCTGTAGGTCCCGCGTCTCTGGGACTAATTTCGGTGCCTGACATCAGGAGTACTGGCACGTGAAGAAGCCAGCATTGGTGGTGTCTTTTGCCTCTCTGCTGAAGTGACAGCGTGGCACAGCTTCCGTCTGATGGTCGACTCTTGCCGTACATGGGTGCATGTGGCTCCGGCCGTGATCCCGATGCCAGTCGCCCTCGCAGATCGGCAGCCACCAGACGAGGGACCCAGACTGCTGCCCAGGTCCCGTTCCTCAACGTCGCGATGCGGGCCTCCCTGTTGAAAGTCTTTCCTCACGGCCGCTTTGTGACGGTGATCACTGATGTGGCGAACTGCCGCTCGGCGCTGGGAGTTTAGGTCGTGGGCCGCGGACATTGCATTTGCGGGATCGCATGTGCCTCAATTACCTACGCAGCACTTCTGGTCCAGCACATGTGTAAGTCATTCAGGTGAAGCTCCTCTTCAAGCCTAAACAATTGAGTGTTTGCTGTAATGCTGGTTGCTTCGTCTGGTCACCAAGCTAGCTGATGCGGGGCTGATTGGCAACAAGTCAACATGCATGAAGCGCTCAAAGCTGAGTGCTTGTCCAACTCTGTGGAGTGCTGCATCAGCATCCTACAGTTTCATCTGTTGTGCAGACTTTGCTGACTCTCCTATACACTGGTGTACCTTCTCCTGCTGATGATGAAGAATCTAGATGATGCCACGACAGGTCGAGAGCATCCTTGGATAGACCGGTACGACGCCACTGCAGCTTGGACGAGCCGTCTGGTTTTTTTTTGAATCAGCTCTTGCATGACCCGACTGAAATGAATCTCGAGGCTTTGAATCATAGCCTTGTGGTTGGGAACGAGACTCTCGAAGCCCAGGCGGGCGCTTTACACTGGGATGACTCATGCAAAGCTGGGCAGTGTTTCAGATATTATGCGTCCGTGAACGTGAAGCAGCGAGATGAGTGGACGAAGAGATATTTGGCCTTCAGCTTCTGGATCGATCGTGGCCCTTAGCCAGCTAGGCTGAAGCAGCATTCGCTCGGATTATAATGTGTTTGCAACAAAGTCTGACTAGCGGCTCTGCGACGTCGCATGAAACTAAGTTCCATCGGTGTGTGCTTCTTCATGAGCGACCCTTCTTGCAGGCGCTGGAGATGGGTTGGCCATCCTCGGCACTGCTGAGAACCTCAGGCACTCACCAACTTGGGAACATGCTTGGCACCAAGCTGGTCCAATGCCAATGCTAAGGCATGGTCATCCACCCACAATTCTACGACGCGAAGGCCAAGAACCATGGTGCGACTTCCCAGGCTCATCGGCATTCTGAATTGCATTTCTGTGCACGCGGTTTCCTGGCAGACGGTTGTGATTTTCTTCGGCGGAACCGCCCCCACGCGGGTCGGGCAAATCGCCAGAAAGCTGTCAGCAGCACATCCAGAGCCGCAGCTGCATGCAGCGGGACCGGGGATTTGAGATTGTTTCTTCCCTGTGGACTCTGCTTACAAGTCACATCAAGTCACATCAAGTCACCCCGTCGCATTTAAAGTCCTAAATAAAAACGTTGTTCTGCTGTGCCGCAGCTGGGAGCCGGGCCAGCCACTAAGGAAATGTCCATCGTTGTTCTTTGCCACCTGGCGAAGTGTAGCTGATTGGGCCCTCTGAGTTGAGACTGGCAGGACTTCAGCATTGGACATGTCCATAGGTTCAGTGAGCGGCAGAGTTGCAGATATTTTGCAATCCCGCGCCATGTCACGGCAAGCCTTGTCGTTGCGCGCGGACAGCATCCTTCATCGTGGCTTAGGTGGCAAGAACGAAGAGCTGCGTACCCAGCTACAGGACACGGGAATACCTTTAAGAAGCATGTTTCAGGTAGCTCGTTGAAGGTGCTCCTATGTGCTACTGTCAGACTGTTACCGTTTGGCGACGAAGGATGTTGGATCCAAAACGGTTGAGTCCGGCCATGCTAAGTCTGACACAGAATCAAGTTCTCGAATCTCATCCCTTCTGGATCCAGTTGAGGACTTTGTCGAGCAAGCAAACGGCCGTCACGTCCCTGAGCTCGCATTGGTGGTGCACCTTGAAGATCTCTGGCAAATATGCGTCTGAGTGTTCGTTTGTTTGCTCGTGTATGTCGGTTTACAAGTCCAAAGGAGATGAAGGTGTTGTAGTGATCACATGTCAGCATCCGATTGTTGTTTTGGCAGCTTTAACCTGGCAAGAGCATGCTCTCGACATGGTGCAGTGCCGACGTCTGCAGGTCGTGGAGGGGTTCGTGAGCTCTGAGCAAGTGCGGGACTACTTTGCACAGGTCGCACATGCTGTGTGTTGAGCAGAGACAAGTCACATCCAAGTCCCGAATATTTATCTCTGCGTTGTAGTAGGATCGGGTATACTATTGTTGCAAAGACCTGCGTTGCTAATTTCATCAATTCGATTTCTCGGCCCGACAACATTCAACACTAGGGATTTTGTGGGGGCATATCTTTCGAGATGGCACATGGCTCTGATGCAGGAAGCTTGGCACAGCCTGACAAGCCAATCAGATGTAAGGAGTACATCTGCGGTTCAGGAACCCCCAGAGCGAAAGTAAGTGCTAGTGACAGCCGTCGTAGCGAATCACTGGAGAGGTCGGATCCCAAACTTCATCCGTGAACCCCTAACCTCGTGCCCACCCAACACCGCCACCTTAGTGTTTAACAGTACTGCTTCTCTTCGGGTGACACTACTTGGGCACCAAAGAGCACACCAACTAGCCGTAATATGGCTAGGACTACCCGACCACTTGTGTTTCGACTCGCACCCGTGATGGGGAAGTTTTTCTCACAGGCAGTATATGGAGTACTAGGGGTTTAATGAAGGCGGGAAGTGTTTATCTTCTCGTCATGCCATAGAGCAAGGCCGCACAGCTGCACCTGCATGTTGCTGCAGTGTGTGCCCAGTCAGGCTTTTTGCGTTCTGGGCAAAGCTGGTCCAGGCGTGGCTGCTGAGGCTCCTGGGTCATGTTGATTGCATGAAGGCGCTTGTTTATCGATATTTGACCGGTCGTAGCCGCTCTGTGATTGCCAAGGCTATAGCTTGCGGTGTCCCGATGCTGATAGAGAGCCGGAACGTCATGCCGCAGGAGCAGGCTCTCCGGCTGCTCCGAACGATTCCGCTCGATCAAGCAAGTAAAGAGACCAGAATGTTGTGCTTCCTGGCTACGGCCACTAGAAAACCAGTAGCGGGCCGAAGTGTTCTGAAGCCTGCTGCTTCACATCCCTGCTGTGTGTTCAGCCTGTGCTGGACTACCTCGCTGGCTCCGGTGCTGGCCTGGTCGTGCAGGCAGCTGTTGTGCGTGGCTGTTCCATCACGCGAATGCCCTTCTCAAAGTACGAGTCGCTGGGAGGACTTGGAGAATCTCCCAGCAGAACCATGGCGGCACGGAATTAGTTGTTGAGGTGAAGGCGAGAGAGCTTGCAAAGTGTTCGAGCCAGCTGCAAGACTCACAAACTGATGCAACCCGATACCAACTCAAGGACCCGTCTTGCTGACTCTTTCAAGCTAAGGATTTGACCAGCAAGGCGGGGCAATAGGACGCAAGCTTCCTTGCCAATGGCACCATTCCCCACAGTCGCAATGGAACCGTGGACATTTCGGTCCCTCTGAACAGGTCGCCGAATGCCGAAGGGCGATTGCTGCCTTGCCTGCAAACAACGCGGTCTTCGAGGCACGCGCGGGCACGAGCGCGCGACGTAGTCACGCAGGCTGCGTCATGGCTGTGACGACACTTTTGTTGATTCAACAGGTTGCAAATTATCTCGACAAATTGGTCATGGAGCCTCTCGACTGCACGCTCAAGCATCTGCAGTGGCCGATGACAAGTAGGGAACATAATGTCTAGCTTTCACAGAAGCCAGAAGCTGCTGCAGAAGCCAGGGTGAATTGCAGATCTATGGCGGAATCCATTAGCCTTCGACACCCTCATCAGCTCTTGTGGTCACGAGGAATAGGCGTGCCAGTGATGTCGCTGAGTGCTGTGAGCAGCGGCTTGGAAAGCAAAGCACCGGGGGTGCTCTCGCTTGACTCGGAGTCTTGTTTCCTGTCCCATAGATGGTGATCAACAGAAGGATTCAGGTCCAAACAGGGTTCGTTGGCTGAACCACCTTTGCATGAGGACTCCTTTGCGGCAGCGAGGCGGGCGCCAGAAGGCAGGAACAGTCTGAATTCGGGCGTTGAGTATGTTAGGAGTCACAACGACAATGCCAGATCGAAGCGAATCCAATGATATGTGCGTGTTGAAGCCCCGAAGATGCCAGATGGCTTGCAGCCCTCGGTGATCGGCGCAACAGAGATGAGTTTCGGTTCCTAGCGGTCCTCGCGGCACAACCAGCGAAAACTAATTCTGACGCCTTCGAAGCGCGGACGGCTCTACCCAAAGGGTATCTGTCTTGTGCAGGTGGCCGTTTCACTTCGACTCGCTGCCCACAAGTTGGCTGAGTTCATGCTTCGGCATACCGTTAATGAGGGTGCGATGCCACCTGACATTGTTTTTATTTTGCTCCAAATCGGCTTATGCTCGCTGTCGAGTTGGGTCTGCTGCCGCAACGCCACCCCGAATCCGCGGAGTTTCTGTGAGTCTTTGCAGCCGAGAGGCTGGGGGGGTCTTCACGTTTCTTTCGCGGCCGAGGCGAACCAACCGACGGCTCGCGCCTTCAGGGGCAGATCAAGGAAGTGAATCAGGCCGGGCAGCCGGGCCGTCACCGGAGTCCCTTTGAACTGCTTGTGCATCTTGTGCAGTCACTGAGCTCTGACAGGACGGAGGCTTGATCGTTTGTGCTTCGATGGCCGAGGACAGAGTGCAACCTAGTTGTGTGGGGTAGCCTCTCTCACTCGCGAGATTAGACCACCATCTTTTGGAGACGTCCTGAAGGAGGTGTCTTTCACGCCCACAGACCTTCCTGCCAACCTGCAGCGGCAGGCGCCCACGACAGGTTTGCAATCCAGACCCTGTTGGGGTTACTGGGATCCTCGGGTGTGAGTTCTGATGCGGCGCACAAATTGTTCGGGCAACCTGTGCAACTCAAACATGACTGACCCCCAAGCCTAGGTGCTATCGGGCGACACGTCGCGTTTGCAGAGGCTGATTTTAAGCCACATGACGTCCGCATTTAGTGCGCTGCATGTTGTCAGTTTTGTTATTGTTATTGTTATTCTTATTATATTATTGTCATTATGATTATTAACATTATTACTGCTGTTGCTATTGTTATTGTTATTGTTATTGTTATTGTTATTATTATTGTTATTATTATTGTTATTATTATTGTTATTATTGTTATGTGGGTGTATATATATATATATATTTATATATATATATATATAGAGAGAGAGAGAGAGAGAGAGACAAGCCACCTGGACGTGGAAAGAGCACTCAGCAAAACCGGCGGGGGAGAGTGGATGCAAAACGCACAGAACAGGGAGCAGTGGAGACACCTCACACAAACCTTTGTCGAACAACATGATGTTCCCTGGGCGACGGGACGACAACCAAAACTCGACAACCTTACACCCACAGCCCCAACAGTGGGGAGGGGAAGGGGAAGGATGCTCGCGAAGGACAGCTTCAACTGAGATGGCGGACCTCCTTTCGAAACCCTTCAATCTCTTCCTCGACTACCCGACCCCCCTGCACTACGTCAACTACCGTGGAGGGGAACAGTTGGAGTTAAGTCTGTTGCACCTCACAACCTACCAACCCGAACCCGTGACCTACTACCTGAACATGTACGAGACCTACCACCAGAACGAGAGAGGGAGACATTTGCCGCACCATGGGGGACACTGCTGCTCCATACATGACATGTCTTGTTGTCGCTGCACCATGCTTGCCATGTGCATAGAAGCTGACTGAGCAATTGCGCCGGCCCTGTAGCCGTTCCGTCTCGTGGAGGAAAGCAGGAACAGCCATGAAGGAGGCGCCAAAGGCAGCGATCTCGGCAGCTCAGCCGGGGGACGACCCCTCCGAGACCATGGGAGGGAACAGAGGAGGCCCGCGCCAGACGCCGGGGGAGCAGCAAGCAACGACGAGCTCTACGGCAACGGCTCCCGAGGAGGGGATGGCGGAAGAAGACACAGGGGGGGAGTCGAGTTCGGAGTCGACTTCATCTCCCTCAAACCCGATTCGGGGGACTGGAGCGCAAAGAAGGGCAGTTCGAAAGCTGCTCAGGCAACTCTACGAAAAAGAATGGGGAAGCAGCGAAATGGTCTGGAACAAGACGCGGCGAGTCCTTTGCCGTCAGGGGGATGCAACCCCCACAGACAAGGTACAGCTGCTGGACGCTGAGAAACGAGAGCGACTTGCTGACGCACTGTTTAACCAAGCGTACAGCACAGTCATGGCGGTGGGGACTTTCTCCTCCAGAGAGCATGTCGAGACCACCGTTGACACCTTAATCGGGGACCCGCTCAAAGCAAGTGAGTTATGGCGGGCGTGTAAGATACGGTGGCATGACAGACTGGGGATCGATGTGCAGTCCATCAAAGCCCTCCTGGGGGAGAAGCCAGTCAGCAAGGATACAGCTCCCCACACAACTGCAGGGGGGACGGCCAGCACAGCGGCATCTTGACGCAGCCCACCGGGGGAGCAGAACAAGAAGCAGCGAGACCCGAGAACGACAACGAGCTCGTCGTCGTCAAGGAGGAGGTGGACTGGGACAGCAGAGAAGACGAAGTTATATTGACACCACCCCTCTTGGAAGAGGGGGATGAGGCTGGGGGAGATGGACCATGGCAGGACCTCAACGACAGTGTGGGAAAGCAGGCCCCTAAAACTCCAGAGCTTCTTCTCTCTGAAGACG